GGGACTATTGCGAAACACCTGGATAGCATAAGCAGTCTACCATCCGATCTCGTTGCGTTCATCCTCGACCAGGTATATGACCGTACGGTGGCGCCAAAGGTCGAGCTCCTGCTCAAGTACGAAAACGGCTCCGACAACGTCTATGGCGAGCTGCTGCACCCATTCATAACGGATATTCTCGTTGAAAAGACGAGAATGACATCGGAGCAGGTGTTCGTTGACCTGGGTTCCGGTGTCGGCAATGTGGTCCTGCAGGCGGCGTTGGAGATAGGCTGTGAGAGCTGGGGCTGTGAGATGATGGAGAACGCCTGCGATCTCGCAGATGCACAGCTGAGAGAGTTTCAAGCGCGGTGTCAGCTCTGGGGCGTTGCGCCAGGCAAGGTACAGCTTGAACGAGGCGACTTCCGCACGAATGAGCGGATCCTCCAGGTTCTCAGACGGGCAGACGTCGTCCTGGTCAACAACCAAGCCTTCACGTCACAGCTGAACGACAGCCTTGTCAGCATATTTCTGGATTTGAAGGCGGGGTGCAAGATCGTGTCGCTCAAGAGCTTCGTGCACGAGCACAAGAGCGCGTCGAATGATGTTGCCATGAGCATATTGGACGTCGAGGATCTCACCTATCCGTCCGATTACGTCAGTTGGACACACCAGGGGGGCACATATTGCATATCAACGAAGAAGTAGTGAAGCTAGATCACAGTATCAGCAATGAGCATGATTCAAGGCGCGGGAGGAGTCAGTCGGAAGTTTTATTTGTGTAGCATCAGGATACCATAGCCATGGGCACTTCCCACAGCGTTTGTATACCTTAGTCATGGTGTTTAGCATCGAACAACGGGACTGGGACAGATGTAGTCGTCGCAAGAGAAGTAGCACAGTCAGTATCAGTACGTACCATGCTAAGGGACACCACTAAAACATATCAACCTGCTCTCGTGCACATGGCGCATCTGCCTGTACTGACATCGTAAGCTTCACTGCCCTAGAGTGTGTGAAGTGAGAGGTCACTACGGATCGGGGAATGGGGAATGCTCAAGCCATCAGGTACAAACTCATCTGGGGCTATCATGTTTAGATGAGTATTCCCCTGATTGCCAATAAACAGTGTAACTCTCAGACACCCTCAGCAGCATCAAAACCTACCTGATATTTCACGGATAGTAGTTCTGTCACCTCCGCGCGAGACTCGGCTCGTTGGCATTATTCATGTCCTCGGCCTCCTGGCCCATCCTCTTCATCCAGCGATCGACAAGAACCTTGGTCTCGTCCTGGGCGCGCTTCCGCTCGCGCTCGGCGACCGTGAGTTCCATGTTCAGAACGGCCAGCTCGTCCTGCACGTCGGCGACGAGCTTCTTCTTCTCGCGCAGCTCGTCGTCGCGGTCGCGGAGCTTGCGCGAGAGCATCTTGCGCTCGGCTTCGAGGGAGCGGAGGGCGCGGCTGTCGGCCGAGGTCTGGTTGCGTAGCCTGGCGAGCTCGTCTTCTGCGTTCTTGAGGCGGGATTGTAGCTGGCCTTTCTGGCGGAGGGCTTCGGCTAGGTCCTTGCGGAGGCGAGAGACCGGTTTAGTGTCTGTGGAGGAGTCGTCTGCTGGCTGTGGGGACGGCGTGCCGGAGGGCGGTTGCCTTGCCGTTGGTCGTTGGGGTGGTTGTGAGTCTTGCAAGGCTGCGTTCTCAGCTTCCAGGGCTGTTACGCGGTCGATGAGCTGTGAGTCTGAAGGGGTGCTATGGTTAGTTCTCACGCTCAGAGAGTCAACGTAGCGGGGTACATAGCAGAGTCGCACTGACAGGCTGCGATCAGATCCCGGTCAACGGCGTTCTCGCTTTGAACCTTCTCTATATTGCTGAGGTACTCATCGCGCCAGTTGGGCATTGTGCCTCTGCCACCCGCCAGCAAGCAGCGTTTGTAGGTCGAAACTTGTGTGTGCCAGGGACCTGCGACGTTTGCTCAAGCTGAAGCTTGTGGTTGAACCGTTGAAGGCTGTGGATTGTTGGGGGATAAAGCTGTTACGTAGTGGAAAGCTTGGCGCATCACAGGAACAGCGGGCGGGTCCGAGCTTCCTGCAAGGTCGCTGGCGCCAGTCATAGCTCCACTTGTGCCGCTCTCACTCATGGATGCCTTCATCGAGCTCGTGCATTTGTCGACCTGATGCTTAACCTGTGAGAACATTCATATAAAGCGGTACGCACCGATGAAGATGACATGACCAGAGATGGAGGCACCTCATCCAACAGAAGGATGGGAGCAGGTTGGCGAGCGCTTCTACAGGAAAATCCCACTGTACACAGCCATCTTCGATGAGGACCTCGACCTCGACAACTACATTGTTGCTGGGGCTCCTTACGCTGGTGCTATTGGTGAGCAGAGCATCTTTGATATGCTGCTCCTCTTCATCATATAGCATATCGATCCGTACTGACAATATCGAACAGCACTATACCGAGATGAGAACAAACTGGTAGCTTATCAGCCAAGCAAGTCATCTAAGCCAACTATCGACATATACAGCTGTGCCGGCAAGCTCCTGAGGAGCATCAAGTGGGACAATGGTGCCATCAAGGGCCTGGGCTGGTCTGTGGACGAGAAACTCCTAGTCATCACAAACGATGGCACTGTGAGGTGCTACTACGGCCTCCAGGACGACTTTACCCAATTCTCTCTCGGAAACGGCGCTGAAGAAGCTGGAGTGAATTCATGCAGGTACCTTATTCACAGTCCCACCTACCTTGATTCAATCCCACGAAACCGAGACACTCACGTTTCTTAGATTCTACGATGATGGCATGGTGGCTCTCCTCTCCAACAATGCCCTAGTATCCGTCACATCCTATGATGAACCACGGCCGAAACTGCTCGCTTCGCCACCTGACGGACATGTTCACTCCTGGGCTATCATAGCCCCTAATTACACCCTCTCACGCTCCGTCGAGGTTCTGCTCAGCATCGGACAGACCGTCTACGTAGTCGACGCAACCGAATGCGAAGACCGCTTCCTCGACATCGGACCCTTCACCCAGATCAGCGTCTCGCCGAACGGGAAGTTCGCAGCCCTATACACCGAGACCGGCCACGCCCACGTCATTACCAGCGACTTCCAGACCCGCCTGAGCGAGCACGACTCCAAATCCAAGATCCCCCCAAAGTACCTCCAATGGTGCGGTAACGACGCCGTCGTGATAGCCTGGGAGGACGAAGTCCACGTCGTCGGGCCCAACGGCGCCGTCGCCCAGTTCTTCTATGACAACCGCATCCACCTCGTCCCAGACATCGACGGCGTCCGCGTGATCAGCAACAACCTCTGCGATTTCCTCCAGAAGGTCCCCGATGTGACAGAGGAAGTCTTCGGCATCGGCACCGAATCCCCCGCCTCGGTCCTCCTCGACGCCGTCGAGCAGCTCGACGCCCAGTCCCCCAAGGCCGACGACGACATCCAGCTCATCCGGCCCCAGCTCCCGGAAGCCGTCGACGCCTGCGTCAATGCCGCCGGCCAGGAGTTCGCCGTGTACTGGCAGAAGCAGCTCCTGAAGGCCGCCTCCTTCGGCAAGTCCGTGCTCAACATCTACAACAGCGACGACTTCGTCGACATGTGCGAGACCCTCCGGGTTCTCAACGCCGTGCGCTTCTTCGAGGTCGGCCTCCCCCTCTCCTACGAGCAGTACCTCCGCCTGACCCCGGAGGGCCTCATCGCCCGCCTGCTCAGCCGCCACGAGTACCTCCTCGCGCTGCGCATAGCCGGCTACCTGCGCCTGCCCACCGACAAGATCTACGTGCACTGGGCGTCCTCCAAAGTCCGCCTGGGCGCCGAGGACGACGACACCATCTGCCGCCTAGTCGTCGACAAACTCGCCGGCAAGCCCGGCATCTCGTTCGAATCCATCGCCCGCGCCGCCTACGACGAGGGCCGCGGGCGTCTAGCCACCCAGCTCCTCAACCACGAACCCCGCGCCGGCCGCCAGGTCCCCCTCCTCCTGAGCATGGGGGAAGACGAGCTCGCGCTCGACAAGGCCGTCGAGTCCGGCGACACAGACCTAGTCTACTTCGTCCTGCACCACCTCCGCCGCAAGCTGCCCCTCGCCGCCTTCTTCCGCACCATCAACGCCCGGCCCCTCGCCACGGCGCTGGTCGAGGCCGCCGCCCGCCACCCCGCGGACGGGGGCGAGGACACGGCCCTGCTCAAGGACCTGTACTACCAGGACGACCGCCGCCTCGACGGCGCGGACGTCTTCGTCCGCGAGTCCCTCCGCCAGCCCGACAGCCGCACCGCCTCCGACAAGCTGGCGCTGGCCGCCAAGCTGCTGTCGGACAACAGCAAGGAGAACGCCTTCGAGCTCTCGGCCCTGCGCGAGGCCGCCTCCCTGCTGCGGCTGCAGGAGGCCCTCGACCGCGACCTGACGGACTCCTTCACCGGCCTGTCGGTCAACGAGACCGTCCTCAAGCTCGTCCGGCTGGGCTACCACGGGCGCGCCAAGAAGGTGGCGGCCGAGTTCAGGGTGCCCGAGCGCGTGCTCTGGTGGATCAGGCTGCAGGCGCTGGTGGCCAGGCGCGACTGGAACGAGCTCGAGGAGATGGCGAAAGTGAAGAAGAGCCCGATCGGGTGGGAGCCGTTCTACAACCTGGTGCTGCATGCGGGGAACCCCAGGCTGGCGGGCGTGTTTGTGGGCAAGTGCGTGGCTGCGGGCGGGCTGGAGGCCGGTCAGAGCGTGCTCATGTACGAGAAGTGCGGGTTGAGGGTCAAGGCTGCCGAGGAGGCGGTCAAGCATAAGGATGCGGAGGGGTATGTCAAGGTGCTGGAGGCGGCGGGGAGGGGGACGGCGGAGGGCAGGGAGATTGAGCGCCTGGGGGCTGCCGTGTTCAAGAGGTGAGTTTGATAGGTCGCTGTGTATGTTGGTATGTTTGATAATGGCAAGCAAAGTGTTTTTTACCTCTTGTCGTGTGGTTGTGTAAGCGGAATTGAGGAAGGCAAGATAGACAATACCAAAAATAAAATAAAACAAAAAAGAGATGCCCAGCCTCGGACTCGAACCGAAGACTCGCTGTACTTTGGTGGATGTATTGCTTCACGCAACCTATAGCCACAAGTCGCTTGTGTTACCTGCTACACCAACTGGGCTTCATTTGTCGATGGGAGGTGATATGCTGTCTTTGACTATATAGCTAGCCTGGCGGTAAGGCGGTTGGGTGTGCTGATGAGACGGTGATGAGTTTGTCACCAAAATGTCATGTGCTTCGTTACTTCACTGTCAATCATGACCTCTCAGCTACAGAGCTTCTTGTTTTTCACGTGAGATATGAGAATATCACAGGCGGCAGGCTACTTGGATAAGTGGTAACATATCCCTTTCTTCTCATGGTAAACCATGGCGCCTAACTATGTGAAGAAAGCCTTCTGCAGACCATACATGATGATCCATATTACATCTCCAGACCAGTCACAGGTCATCGGCGTCCTGCCGAAGACTCTGGTCTCGTGAACCCCTCTGAGACCACCTTCTCAGCTACATACACACTCGGTAGTACTTTATAGTACTTCAATGAACGGCGAAAATAAATGAAGCAACAATGGTATCAGCCCCAGCCCAGCCCAGCCCCATCCTCTGAGTTCTATCTGTGCAAGTCCAGATTTTACTCCGGTATGTGCAGATGAAGAGAGAGACAATAGATGTAAATGTGGAACGCCGTCTCGTTGCAGTGCCATATTAATGTCAACAACCAATTACTATTCTCCCTGCAGTACTGCGCTTGAGGGTAGATCGATGCCTGACAAGAGGTATAATACCCCTCCCCGACTCTCTCTCTCGTATCTGCTTGCAGAGCAGAGCAGAGCTTCGCAACAAGCTCCATCAACTGTGTGCCGCGCTACGGATTCTCCCTGACATGAATCTCATCAAGTATCATCTCGCCGCCGTTAGCGGCTGCGTCCAGACTAGTTGTTCCTGCAATAGTCGCGTCTCCTAGACGCATGCGAACGCCGCTGCCGTCAAAGACCCAGGGTCCCGCGTCGTTACGCGGAGTGATCGGTCCCTCGTGGCCGTTCAGCAAAGCTGGATTACCCGAGGTCGGGGACGGTGTCCTGGTGTCGTTACGACCCGTCGTAGCCGCCGAGGAGTGTGTGCTGGCGGCCCGCGCTGTCGGTATCGGCATCGGACTGGACGTTGCATTTGCCGACAGTTGGTTGTTGGTTGACAGACTGGGTCTCCCGTTCGGCGTATTTCGACTGTTGGTAGAAGAAGCGGTCTGAATATTGTTCCCCGGCGTGTCCGACCCGCCATCCATCATGGTAATGTCCATAGCATCAGAGTCGTGCTGCGCCGGTGTCAGGATAGGCAGCGCCGGAGTCGGCGGCACCACCGGCATGCGTACGCTCCGTGCACTCCGTACGCTCCTTGTTGACTCTCTCGACTTCCGCGGCGGTGCAATTGTCTGTGGTTGGGCGCCTGTCCCCGACGCTGCCGCTCCGCTGCCGGTGGGCTTTAGCGCAGCCCCTTCCTGTTCGTTGTTTTCCTCCTCGGAATCAGCTTGCTCCCATTCTTCTGGATCTTCGACATCGGCTTCCAGGTCTGCGGCTGCACGGCAGTTCGGACAGATGAATATCGGGTACGAAGGAGACGATAGCAACGAGCGAATACACTTATAGTGCCATGTGTGGGAACACGGTGCGACGAATAAGCACTGACAAGGCTATAGTTCGCTCATAGAGTTAGCACTGCCCGTCGAGTGGTTGTATGATGTAAATGGAAGGGAAGCTTACCGCAATGCTGTTTAAGCAGATCGAGCAATCCTGTGTGTATGACTGTGTCGCTGAGGCGTTACCGGAGCTTGCAGTCATATTTCGTAACCTCTTGTGCGTCGTCATGCTTCATTTCCACGGTCAGTAACTTGCGGAAACATGTATTTGATAATCGAGAGACTTACTTGAATGTGTTTAGCTTGTTCTGCCATCCGCGGTTCAACTCCAGGCGCATCTTCACGCACCGGAAGATCATCTCCTCGCCGCCTTTGAAGTCAATGCCCAGCTGTACTATGTCGCCGTCGTTTATGGGGAACGGCTTCGACTCGGTGCCCGGCGGACTCAGCCGAATGTGGTTGAGAAAGGTACCAGAGCTGCTCTTGACGTCTTTGATGTACCATTTGCCTCCCTCGTACCAGAACTCGCAGTGCCGCCTGCTGACGACCTTGCTCTTAAACCCAACTGGTGCAGCGGACGGCACGTTTGGAGGCACATTCGGCTGGCTGTCACGTTCCGAGTATCGCCCAACGCGGATGATCTCGTTGCCGGTGGGTAACGTCCTCGATATCGGAGTGAATGTAAGTGATGGACGAGCGGCGCGGGGATCGTAGAAGGTGCTGAAGCGGATCGAAGGCAAGATGTCCAACCCGGAGCCTCCCCCGTTGTGAGCGGTCGTCTCGGACATTGTCGCTGAGCGGGTTCGCACCATGTTGGCGTTGGACTCGGCAGAAGGCGCACCTCCTGTTGAAGGGGTGGTAGAGCCTCCTCGGTGCTCGGCTGCCGGGGTCGTGAGATCGACAAGCACCGGGGGGAGAGCTGAATCAGTCGATCTTCGACTAGCTGATGGCCGTGGAGGCGGCGCCAGGCTGAGAGGATGCGACTCGGGGTTGACGAGGGTCAGGCGGTTCGTATTCGGGCGTGACGATGCTGTCGAGTTGTTCGCAGGGGCGGTGGAGTGGTCTGGCGAGAGTGTGGTGGCAGCCGAAGCGCTGGTGGTCCGATGGAGATTAGAATACGGCCTGGCAGTATAGGAGGTGTTTAAGGAGGAGGTCTGCGTCAGAGGGGCGCCGCCTGTTGGTGATGATGGGGTTGTCTGGCTGTGTTGATGTTCCCTCGACAGCAGGTGGGTCTGGGTATAGTTTCTCAGGTAGCTGAGGCCTCTCAGACGACTGGGGCGTGCAGAGGGGGAGGCGGTTGAGGCGTGGGATTGGGAGACCTGGGTGCTTCCAAGGAGACCCTGTGATGTGGGCGCTGCAGCGGGAACTTGTGTGAACATTGAATTGAGTTGTCAGATGCAGAATCCAGAATCCCAGCCCGAGGATTCCCAGGTTCTGCCCCGGCGGGTTATTTGGCGTGTTTGCGTTATTGGCGTATTGGGTGAATCTGGGGGGATGTCGGAAGGAGCGAGAACGAATTAAAGCCTGCCCTGCAACTAAATTGCCCAACGTCGTCGTCCTATATTCTGAGTGGTTTGATTGCTGGTCGGACTTAAGGTTCGACAACGATATAGCGGCGTTAGTTCTATAGCACAGGAGGTGAGGTCCAGGTGAAGTTGTACGAGGAATCAAAGAGTCGCATGCTAGGAAGTGAATGCTGCTTTCACATGAGCAGGTTAGCAGGCCCGTTAGCACGTCGGCAGGCGAGCTAGTACTCTAGAGGTAGATAATGTGGGGAGCTGCAGCGTTGGGGAGTTGCTCATCTTACGACCACATAACATACCTGTCGTATTGTCTAACTGGACAAAATATCGGCAGCCTGCTTTCGACTTGGCCGTCAAAGACCTGATCTGACCGAGGTGAGCAGTGTGAGCAGTGTGAGGTGGCAAAACCACAGCAGGCCTCGTGAGCACGGCAAGGGCCACGCTCTTGTTTCAGGGAGGCTCTCAGGGAGGCTCTCAGGCTCCCACAAGCGAGACAACGGCGCGGACAGCCAGACTCTGCGACAGTTCGGTGTACAAGATTGGTGGTACGCAGAAGGAAAGGCAGCTACCAAGATGCGACTGTATGAGTTTACGAGATTCCTTGCAGACGATGCAGACACGGGCGGAGGAAAAGAAAAAGCCAGTAAAGGTGAACAGCGCTGAAGAAGCAGACGACGCAGGAAAGAGTCGCCGAATACGATGCCGCGGAGGAAGACAAAGCAAATTGTCTCTCGTCGTCCCCTTGCCTCAAACTCGTAACTTTCACTGTGTTTTAGCGTACCCTAACCTCTTGGCCGGCTTCCTCTACTATGTATACCTGACCTTATGCATGCGGAGGCAGAGATAGTGCGTGGCATGTGGCCTGCGCATGGCCATTTCGGGACGCCGTCAGACATCGAAACCTGACCTGACAAGGCCTGAGTGACATTGTCCAGCCTTTTTCAGTGTGGCCCATCAATGGATCAGTTGCCACGGGGGGGAGCCAACAAGATTAGACCAAGTCTAGTACACTACACGTACTAAACCCCCCTTGGTAGCGACTCCGGGCAGCACAAGTTGGTCAGCAGAGCGCCTGATTGTTTGGTTACGGCTCAGCAATGCCTCCGGATTATCTTGCCACCCAGCACTGCAAGCCGGGACCAATGTATACATACCCAGCCTGCCCAGATAGCGTAGTTACCTATGTGTAACCATCCTGACTTTGAAGGCTTCAGACAGGCGCAATTGATCGTCCAAGAGTCAGGACCCCGCTCAGCAGTTTGACCCCGGTTCAGCCCCCCACACAGGAAGGAAATGCCTTTACAATGTACTATCGTCCAAGTAGCTGGAGGCTTGAAACGCTCAAGACAGGAGTATTCTGACAGCTTTCACTCCATGCTCTGCCATGATACCTCGTCGAGGTGGTGTATTGACATACAAATGGATTTGAACCTGACTCGCAGCGGAATAAAATAAAGAAATGTAACACAATACTGTACTATGCAGTATACATGCATCATGCCATTGTCGGATTTAATCCAAAGTCGATGTCGGAGACTCGGATGACTTCATTTGTGGGGCAAAGATGCGGATCCTTGCCGGCTGCGAGGACGCTGAGACGGGAGATTGATTATCGATAACCGATTTTTGTCGCTGCCAATTCCGCGCTCCGAACCGCGACACGACACGATATGTCCAGACGATAAAGGCAGCCATGTTGAGAACCACCCGGTTAGCGAGGGCTACGGCCCGGATAAGGCCTTCGTTGCCTCTGCGTCGAGCTGCACAGCTTCCACTAGGTGTCCGCACACTGGCCACCGTCACTACACCACCTCCACAAGAACCCACACAGCTCGACAAGATCACAAGGCTGTCAAATGGCATACGAGTCGCATCCGAAGACCTGCCAGATGCTTTCTCGGGCGTCGGCATCTACATCGATGCCGGATCGCGCTACGAGAACGACTACCTCCGAGGCGCTAGC